GTATTTAATCAATAATAATAAAAAAATCGTTATTTTAAACATTTTCTTTTTTAGAAATAAAAAGTGTATTCATGCATTTATATTTATCATTATATATCCCACATCATCGAAAGAAAAATAAAATTAAAATTTTGCAATAATTTCTTGTAGTTATTTTAACTGTAACTGTAGTTATTTTAGTTCATTTTTCTGTGAACACTGGTACTTTTAGGTCACGGAATATTCTCAGTTTTTTCCTGAGTTATTATACCTCTATATATATTGAGATTCATATCTCAATTCAATTAATCATTTACCTTATTAAGTATGAATTAAAAAATTAATTTTGGAATTAATTCCCATTCAAATTGACGGAGATTTAAAAAAGTACATTGGTATATATCTAGACTATAATTTTTATTTCTTCGGGACTTGAACACGAAACAGTTCGTCACAAAAAGTATTTGTTTATTTGTTTAAAATTTGTTGTAATAATCACTACGATATGACTCTTTGTGTCGGTGTGTGGGCACCTACCGTTTTTTAATAACAAAAAAAGTTTTGTCTTCTCAAAGGTTTGAAGAATCAATTAAAAAATACAGTCGGCACATGAATTGACTAATAACCTTCCCTCGCTGTTGGCACTTTGCTAGCTACACGTTGGGGAATGGAGTCTTCACTAGGAACTCTTCAAGTATCTTTCCTTCCTACATATAGAAGTCGAATGAGAAGAAGGAAAAATAAACTTTATTCTAGGACTAAGTCCCCTTAGAATAACTACAACGTACAATTGAATGACAATTGTCTTGTATTGGAAATAAATTAGATTACATGATTGTCTAGATCTAAGGTTACAATAAAGAAAAGGCATTGTTAGATATATGATATCATAGATAAATTCAGATATGCGAGTGTACATAAACAATGCGGGTGATATATAATTATCTGTCAGATAACATTAAAGCGACTGACAGATCTGAAAAAGGTGAACATTATTTTACACATATACGGAAGACACACACTTACATTTATTTATTTTATTTTCTAATTATTCAAAGAATTGTAATATATCAATACTATGTTACTTAAACTAACTATGTATCTCAATATGCGTTATGTCGCAAGATGGTACGCGTAGAAATATATGCACCCATTACAGGGTTACTGTAATGTGAAAAAAAAATATATATATACGGAAGATTGATAACTGAGGAGATAGATAAATAAATTATGTTTATATGAGGTCAAGGATGATGATTTGCGTAAGGAGGTTGGTAGGAAATTCCAAAACAAAGTAGCACGCATGACGAAGGATCATTTAAAGGAAACAGTTCTCTGAGGAGGAATAAACAGGTTTGAGGGCTGGGATCTCGTGTTGAACGAAGGAGGGAAGAGGGCGAAGATACAATAGGCCGTGCTCTGTCAGCCATATTGTGTTTATGTATTTTATGTATTTACCGCCTCGGAACGCCTCATTCCTCAAGGTATGGAAGGCCTTGGGGTATTTGTAAATATTTCTTTTGCAAACGGCAGTGTCCAACACACCGACCTAAATCTTTTCGTAAAGGTTTGCTCAACAATAATTGTGTAAATTGAAGGATTTGCTAATTGATTTGTGATGCCTGGATTGAATTATTTCGTTAATTATTGATTTGACTAGGTGCAATAGATATGGTGGAACGGTTAACGAACCAAGACAACTTTGCAACTATATTTTTAATCCTGTGCAAACTTATATGCAAAAAATCTTCAAACTATCATAAACCATTGTTATTTTTATTTTTCTATTTATAGAACGTAGAATGGAGCGATATCTTCTGGGGATAACTCGAAGGAATAGAAATTATTATTATTATTATTATTTTTTTTAGCTAATCATAAATTCTATAAATTACTATGTATTTGATGTCTGTTCATTGAGTGAAGCTTCTATCAGGGACTTCAGAGTCCCCAAATCATTTTAGTTTTAAATTTAGTTCAGAAAATCAATATCATTCGTTCATTTTAATAACACAGTCGATTTCTTCTCAAGATAGAACCGTGATAAAAATTTATTAGGATTATGAAGTCATTGTCAGTAACCCCTTTTCAAAATATGATCGGACTGCAAACCAGGTTAGCTCGTCAACAGCGATTAATAGCAACAATAAGCTCCTCAAGACGTTTTTATGATGCAATAGTATTGTCAAGTTTCGTCGTTAAGTCTAGGTGTTTTGTAAAATTAATACTAAAAATGGATCTTTAATCCGTAAAACACATGTAATCTATACTATATCATGTGTGATTCGGAGATATTTCTTGCTAAATAAGTATCATTACAAGTACTTCAGATTGCTTTTACTCTTGCATCAAAGAATAGGCAGCATGAAAAACTTTAGAGCAGATTACCAAAAACTGTGCTGTTCTCTGCCTTGCTCTCTGTTCTGATGAATCCATGCAATATCGCAGATTAAAAATTATTTGCATATTTTTTAAAGTTGTAATAATTTTAAGAAATGGCTTGTCTCATGAAAAAATTATCTTTAAAAGTATTAAGTATTCGCGTAATTACATTCAATAGCACTTAAACATTATTTCATATAGATAGGTAGTTTCATTCTGTAGTAATTTTCATTATATATATATAAAGCTTTCGAGCTGTAGCCCCCTTCAAAATTAAATCCAAGATTCGTTAGTGCTATCGTTGATTGGTGGTACCCTATCCTCGTTACTTTTTTAAATTCCTTTACTTCATGTAACGTCACAATTTTAATGTTTTTTTTTAACGAGGACAGATTTTGATAAGGTCGTAATTAAAGCTTTTATTTTTACATTAGTAAAACTGAACTAAGAAACATTGAATGGACTTGACTTTATCAGCGCAAGAATAAAATAAAACAAAAACAGGAGATGCAATTTGTATGCCCGCTAACGTACCTTCCGTTTGATTGTTCGAAATCCTTTATACTACTTCATCTACCCGAGAGGAATTTATACTTCTATATTATATGTGGTGTATATTACCGTATTTAAAATTATAGCTAGTGAAACCCGCCTCCTAGTAAGTAATCTGCAAGCTGCGATGTAGTGGCATCGTGTGCGAAATAAATACGATTTATGATGACTGCCTAAAATGATAGGCTATAAAAGCAGGAGATGGGATGATAACATAACGGCGGGCAGAGCGCTAATAGGCGGGCTGCCATTAGAGCCGGTAGGTACGCTCGTATATAATTATATAGGTATAATAGCTGATTGTTAAGAGTGCAAAGTGTGAAGAGTACCCGCTCACCGGTCTATTGTAATCAACGAGAGGTACTGTTGTTTGTATATACCTGTCTCCTCATTGGCTGTCTACTTACCTATCTTTATCTTTTCCATCATTCCCTCCTTCTTGGCCGTATCGAAAGAAGGTACCGATTATTGTAATAGAAGTTTATTTCGAGTGAGGTGTGCTGGTTGTACTGATGGAAAGGCGAAGACACAAGAAGGTGCGGACTGTTTAGGAATATATTATTATTAAAATAAAACGGTAGAATTGACTTTTAGCTACTCAAATTTGTTTCTTAGTTACTAAATCAAATTGTCATGGTTTACCTCCGGGACACAGATTTATATAATGCAATTAATTTTTGAAATTATCAGCTATATAATATAATCTATAAATCATAATTTAGTTTTTATAACTGTTTTGCTTTTGTTTTATTCTTCTTTTTATTTTATCTCTATTTAGAACCCCGTTAAATGACCTGTCAAGGTTTAAATACCTGCTGTTATTCAACGGCACTTCATAACTATGTAATTTAATAACAAAAGTTGTATTTGATGAGTTGGGATGGGTGTTGTTAGGACCTACCTAAACGAAAAATCTAAGCTACTTCCACATTCGCATCACAAATCAGATTTAAGTATTGGATTACAAATCGATTGTATTATTATTGTTGTTGCTAATCAATATTTGAGAAATATTGTATAAGAAATCAATACATTTACTTCCTGGGAATAATATTAAAAATTCCTAGAAAAAAAAATTATGGAGAAGAAAAATTCTTGTCAGAAAAAAAATTCTTTCAGGAAAAGTAGAAATGTGTCTTAACTTTTCCAAGAATTTTAATTAATTATAGATTGCCCCGCTCTCTATGGTTCCTTCTCGTTGTCTTAGTACTCTATGGCCAAATTAAAACAAATACAAAGATGATCTTAGATAATATGCCCTCGGGCAGTGGAAGGAATTTATTACATGTATATATTGTATTATTGTATACTATATATGTAATTGTTTCAATAAACATTTTGGAGGGTAAGAAAGAAAAAAAAAAAAAAAAAAAAAAAAAAAAAAAAAAAAAAAAAAAAAAAAAAAAAAAAAAAAAAAAAACGATCTTAGATAATAGGCGAATTCTTATAAGATTTTAGTCTAGTTCGACTGTTGAGAGTTGAGAGTTAGTTCGTTTTAATAAAATGCTTGTTCTATTATATCGATGGGATTTCTTAATAATCTGAACCACTTCTAATATTGTTTGGAAACTAGACCGAAAGTTTAAGACCACTGCAAAGTAATAAAATGAGCGTTTTTGTAGTTGTCCAATTCTTCGTACTGAATTGTGAATTATCTACGAATTTTGTTTTTATTATTGTAACTTCAGTTTTCAATTGGTTAAGCAAAAAAATTAGCCAATAATTGGTTTTTATAAAACTTGTTGCTCTCGAGGTCCCTCTTTCGGGAGGCTTTACCTCCAACCTCCTTTACCCCCCTCACAAACTCCAACCTCCTCATCGGGTTACCGACTGGTTGCTGGTGTCTATCGTCGATAAAACGGGTGTTGTAATGTATTTCGTTTTAGGGCTACTATTTTAAACTAACATTTCTCTCCCACTCCGTTCATTTGGAGATCACGTGTTATCATCGTACATGTATCTTTAATTTATTTTCGAAAATCAAATTATTTACACGGGCTAAAATATATATATATATATATATATATATTTTTTTTTTTTTTCCTATCTCTCGACACTTTTTAGTGATTTTTTCCCCGCGATATAACTCATTCTGCCCTCCAGAGAGCGAACCAAAAGATGTGCTGGGAGACATCGCGACTAGAAAGCCCCCTCCCCTCTCCTTTTTCTACTCGCAGGTCAAGTTCTTCTGGTACCGCATCTAATCCGTAATGTGGAGGACTTTTGTTACCCCGGCTCATGAGAAGCAGTGCAGGAGAAAGTGGTGGGATTCTGTAGGCATTTCATGACGGCTCATCAGCATTCCGTGACATATTTTCTACATGGCATTACACGGTGTTACAACAATAGATATAATGTCAGGTCTAACAAAATATCTTATACAACTCGGGTGTAATAGGTGTGCCGTCAGCTCCTTGTCGTCTTAGCACTTTCTACTTTAACTAACAACCAAGTTTCTTTCTCGTATTTCTAGTTCAACTATCGATTTTAGTTAAGTCTTTTCAGTTTTGATAAGTTGTTTCGTTTTAATGTCCGTGGCCCCGAAGGTAACTAGTCGATTCAACCGCCACCATATAATGCAGCCAGGATGATGTCCAGCAGTTGCTCATGGATCGAGCGGATTGCATGCTGAATTCTGGAACAGTAGTGTGCTTTGTCATTATGGGAACCGTGGGTCAAGCGCTACCTGGGTACGGCGTTAGCAAGGTATTGAATCGTGGCGTAGGTCAGGAGGTATATGTGATAATATGATGTCTGTTGTAACGTATAATAATATAATATAATAATACAAAATGTCGTATTATATCCAGTACTGTAAAACTGATTGTTTTTGTTATTGTTTCCGGTAAGGCAATTGCTTTATCAACACGTGAATATAATAGCAATGCGGGGTAGTGAGTATTTATCATGTTAAGTCCTTCTTAGTATTTTTATTTTAATGAATAAATATTAATTTTAATGCATAAATACGTTGAGAAATAATTTTCCAGTGAGTGAACTGAGTTAGGGATTTATTCTATGATAATCAAAACTAATTTAAAAATGTGGTTAATAAGAAGTACATTTCGTTCTAGTTGTTAAATTTTTTTTATCATTTCTTAATGATATTTACAACTGTATTAAAGAAATACATTTAGTAAATTTGAATATATGTATATAATGACGTGAAAACACTTATTGAGAAACTACCTAATGGTAGCACTCTAATGATTTGTCTATGTTAGGAGATTACGGTGTCATCTTTTCAGACGCCTCGGAGGGTTATCAGGAATTGAAGAGGAAGCAAGGTTAGAAACGAGAGGGTTGGGATGATTCTAAAGTTTATCATGGAAGGATAGGTGTCTGGATTGGGCCAGATCTGAAACAAAAGAAACATTAATGTCATTATGGATGGTTTTATTTGTAACAAAGTAGGGAGAATTTTACGAAGGATTTTGGATTGTAAGGATTGGATGCGAGAGAAATCCGATGGTTTAGTGGAGCCCTATAGCTCAACTCCGTATGTCCAAATAGGCCTTATTATAGTTATGTATATGAGTGTTTTGTAATTAAATGGAAGTTTAGAGAGTTTGTCTAGCAAGTGCTGGAGTAAGCGGAAACATCGAGCGGTTTCAGTCTGGTATGTGTTCAAAAATTAATTTTAAATAGGGGTTTTCTTAATGCCTGCTTCTTTATTATTGTCACATTTTAATTTGTCTAAATAACTCCTTAAATGTATAAATTATATCAGTATTTTCTTGTCCAACCACTGGATAACATTCACTTTACATTATTTTTTATTTTATCAATTATTGTGAAATATATAATGTAAATAACGAAAAAAAAATCAATTAGTTACGATTGGAAATAAAGGCAAACGAGATTAACACACTTTATGCTTGAATTAAGACATGGCCTTTTAAGACTGAATTGGTCCCGTCTTTTTATAAGACAAAATTCACTGACACCAACGTCGAGCTCTTCCGAAATTGATTTTTATAAATGCCCTGAAAATTGTGATTATAATTTCAATTTAATCGTAATTTAACAGAAATGTAAATCCAGATTCCTTAACGATAAATAACTTTAAATATGAAACAGAATTGTCGGGAATGTCAGTCAAAATTTCTTTAATGGGCTATCGAATCACAATCTGATGGACAAAAGTCAAAAAGGCATGTAAATGAAAAATTACTAAAAACTGATTATTGTAACGATAATGAAACATTATTTGATCAAAATTTTACTGATGATTTTTCTGTAAATTTATTTTGATTAGTAATTCTTATTTATACAAACAAGGACAAAATTTATAGTTAAAATTTTTTTGCACGCCACTTCAAATATCTAAAAGTGTAACATTTATAAGTGTAAATTATTCACAAGTAATAAAGTAATTTTACGTAAATATCATTTTTATTTTTTAAGCTTCCCGATGGTGTATTAGCTGTGCAGGGGTTATGCATATAGTGCATAGCTGTTACATTGAACTGAATTCTACAGCTTTTATTATGTGCTCACTATGAAATAGCCCCATCTACCCTGTTTAAATTTAAACACATGTAAATCTACAGTTTAAATCTCTATATGTATGCTGCTAACAGATTTATGTATTTGGCCATAGCGTAATGTAATTATAACTGGCCTGTAGCTAATTTTGGAAAATAAATAAAAATTTCGATGAATTTCTTGTTTAAAATATTCTGAGGCATTTTGATATTGTATAAGCTAATTGAAAACATACGTAAACTCGTTTTAGATTATTTTGTGTTTTTTCGAACATTGTATTTATATCGTTTAAATGGTCAAAAAGGCTGCTTATTATCGTCACAATTGAAATATTTAAGTTGGGATTGAAATATTTAAGATTTAATAATTTTCGAGGCCGGAAAAATCAGGGTCTAAAAGTATTAAATATTGATGTGAACAGAGGTTACTCGTAATTTATAGTATTTAGGAATAACTTATTTAATATGTTTACCTCTAACTTATAAGAGGAGAATAATTAATTTTTTATCCGAAAAATAGCGAAACTTTCATTACATTGATATTAATGTTATTAAGTTCATACCTTTGAAAATAGTATCAGTATTTTGAAAAATCAAATGAGGTAACAGAATGAGCACAATATTGACTAACAGAAATTGAGCGTTCGTTGCGTTGAGCGTTCTCTACGACTGCATAAATTTCTCCTTCCTTTAAATGTTTCTAATCTTGTGTTTTCATATAGTTTCTTTTTGTTTCGAATAATTTTTCCTAACTTCACCGAAGTATTAACAGAAGTTTTATGCCATTTGTCTTTAAAATATTCACTATCGATGTTACTACTTTTGTCCTGCTAGATAACCTGAATCAGCCAACCCACTGCGCGACGTTTCGACGCAGACATGTAGGTCATCATCAGGACTAGTCGAGACAAGAACTCTGTAGTTGCCTAGCCTCGACTTCCAAACGACAGATAATGATCCTTTAAAATAAATAACTTTTATGAACAAAAAATTAGAATTAAATTAAATATTCGTGTGATAATATTGTTTTAGATTTAAACCGTTTTGCGTTTGTACGTTACTATCTACTTGATTATGATAGATGGTTGAGTTGGCAGACGTTGCAGGTAGGCAGGTACTACACCTGTACCTGTACCAGTAGTGAATTTATTTTAATATTGTCTCGGTTGAGTATTAATCCCCAATGCCTCGGTTCTATTTACAGTTCTCAACTAATTAAAAAGTTCTACTTCTGTCTTGAACATCTTTTTTGAAATATTAACGGTTTAAGAACTTCGTTAAAGAGTTTTCCACCTTTTGTATTTATTATTAAACTTCTCCCTTAACTGCGTCTGCTGCTCTTCTTTTATTTTTTTATACTTATTAAAACTTTTTAAAATTAATTTTCTTTCTTTTTTCGCTTTTATATTTATTTATTGCAAAACTTATTTACAGACATAAGCCTTTAGTATTTAAGCCTGACTATAAATTTTAAAAAAATTATATTTGTTGATAAATCAATAAAAAAAAAATACAAAATATAATTAAACTGATTTATAAAAATTCTTACTGAATTATGAGAATATGTTTTCATGAGAGTAAACTAAACTGTTCTACATATCATGGCTGATAAATATTCAGAACGCAATAACTGTATAGTTTTTATTAGTGCCGACGTTTCAACCCAAACATGTGGGTTATCATCAGGGCGGGTTTCAAGCACTGAAGGTATTCAAGTACTCTGAAGCTGTTCCGGGTAAATAAAAACTATAAAGTTACTGCGTTCTGAATATTTATCAGCCGTAAAAATATATATACGTATACATATTAATTTGTAGGATGACTCAGTGCAATATGCAAATTAATATTTAGTAATCAATGCCTCGAAATGATGGGGATATGCGAGGTCGGGGAGGGGGTGAGTTGTCCCTCTCTCCTTTCCAACATCAAAATAAAAATGAAAAAGCAAGAAATTTTTGAAAAAAAAATTTGAAAGAAACAAATTACGAACACAGCACACCCTTACGTTGAAAGTAATCAAATTTTAAAAATTTTCCCCATGATCTTTTAGGCTCAAATATTATGGAGTAAAATAAAGACTTTACTTCGATCTAAAATATGATCAAAAATCGTTTTCTAATCGGACATAGAAATATATCGAAGATAGAAAAACAATTGTAATAGGTTCAAAAAAAAGTTTGGTTAGTTCAACCTAACTGCCCCAAAAGTTATTATTTTCGTCTTGTTGCGGTCGATCGCTTTGAATGCATAAAGTCTATCCCTCTCCTGTAGGTCCATGTAGGAGTAGTTAGTTCATATTCCAGAGAACATTAGTAAGGAAGGGAACAGCTGGAAGGGTTTATGATTTCTTTTTTATAACTTTATTATGTGAGATTGCGCCTCGGCGAATGGAAAGATCTTTAAATCGCCATTAAATGTAGTGTTATTCAGATTGGTGTTCATTTTTACTAAATTTGAGGCCAGAGTTTATTCTTCTACTATTATGAACTTTCTCTAACTTGTTTTCACGACGTGTAGCCAAAGCTTTGGCTTCCGACTATTGCACTCCAGTGGCTGGCCCGTTGTGTTGTTTACTTGTATTATTATTATTACATTTCAATCATGCAACCGGGCCACAAGTTCAATGACAGTTGGAGTTTAGTGAATTATTAATTTAAATTGTTGAAAATTGAAGTTGTAGAAAGCACGGGACAAGAAGGTAGATTTGGTAGCTTGATACTATAAGCTCTCTCCAGTGGTAAATGTATGCTTGATACCGTATGATACAGGCAGCAGCTACCCAATACGGTATCAAGTATTGTGTAGCTGCTGCCTGACTGCTTTCGCCGGGCGATGACTGTTGTTGGTACCGATGGCACAGATTTAAGTAACTATCTCTCCAGATCTGCTGGGAGAGAAATCCTTCAGGACAATGGAGGTGGAAAGGAGGATAGCAATCGAAATTAGTATCGCAATTGCCTTTCTCAATCGTCCAATGTAATTTTGCAATATCATTTTTATTAACATGATATCGCCTCTTCGGTCCAACAATGACTCAACTAAATCATTATAAAAAATGTTTAATTGTCAGAAAGAAGTGTTAATGTTTACCGGTTCACAAACCGTCGCGGCTCACCCTGGTCTAAGAGCGGCAAAAATCTCTGTTTTCAATGTGTAATGGTAATTCAAATTTCCATGATTTTATTGTCAGGCATTGTTAACTCTTATATTCCTAAAGTTTAAGCACGAATAAAAACACCAATTTCAAAGATATTCAATAAAATATAACTAAAAAGACTGTTATACTCTGTTATATTAATCATACAACTTGTTATAAATCATTAAATATATTTTAGGCGTTTTTGCTTAAATCTGAAAATAATTTTTTGTTGTGTAATTTTTGGAAATGAGTCAAAAAATTTCTTAAATAAGTTATTTCTTAATCAATTTTAAAAAATCGTATTTTTTAAGGATAAATATCACTCAACGGTTTCTGGAATTTCCTTTTTCCTAGCGCCAACGACCGCCAAAGTCTTAATCTAATCATAATGTTTTTTGAACCCTCTGCTAATGTGGAATACAAAAATCAGCTGCGATAATTTCAGATTTTGGTAATTATCCGGCATATTCAGTGAAGAAAGTTATACCAAAAGCGAGCAAGAAAAAATTCCCAATTGTATCTGAATAATTTTATAGCTAATATAATTTACTTCGTACCATCATAGTAAACTGGAGGAAAAATATAGAAAAAAAAAACTTAAAGAAAATGCGAAGTAAAATATTGAAGAGAAATTTAAACAACTGCGTGATTCATAATTAATACTGAGGTAATGTGTTCAGCTACCACCATGTATTTGGTTTTATCTTCATTTAGTTGTAGGTAGATTTGCTCCTCTTCTCTTGCCACTATGTTCTCTTGATAGTAATATAGGTAATATATCTTTATAATTTATTCTGTCAATAACCTTATACAATAAATTTTCACTTTTACAACATATATTACATTAACAATAATAATAACGGTTGGTCTTACCAAAAAAGTTGTTAATGTATGTTAATTCAGAATGCCCGACATGCTATGATAAATTCAGTTCTTTAAATATCTTACTTTAATTGAAAGTTTATGAGTGTTTTTGGCGTTTTTATTACTTTTCCGACCACTGTGCGGCGCAGTAATATAATGTAAGCAAATTTAATAGATAGAAGATTTTTTCACCGGTAAAATCGATTTTCAAAATGATGTTATTTGTATTGTAATTATTTTCTCTCTGTTATAGAATTGTAGGTACGCCATTGTTCCACCTTATGAGCGGTATTGTACTTGCTTTGCTACACCGCTGCCTTGTAAATAATTGATTATAATTAAATAAAAACACTTTGTGTGCATTTTGTATTTCTGCCTTGCGTATTACAGTGGAGCCATTGTGAATACACTGGTCCTACTGTTTTCGAATGGTCTCATCGGCTAGCTCCTAATGTTCATACAACTTATGTTACATTCCTGTTTTAATGTACGCACAATAATATCGCCATTTACAGCTGATAAAACTAAATTAAAAAATGTTGGAACTATTTGTTTTGCCGAGGTGGCTCATTGGCGAACGTGCTCGGCATCCTTTTTCGACCGGGAGGTGACGACACAGCATGCTTGTGGTCGAGTGTCCTTCATCAGAAAACAAAAACATGCTTACAATATTTCGTTTCGAGGAAGAATAAGGATATCCCATTGGGAAAGGATTGGGGAGGGGGCAGGCTATAACTGTATTCAATGTTATCAATTCTTAATAACGTCGGTGGGGGAATGATTGTTTCGATAGGTTTCAGTAACCACTTCGTTAGTTATACTTATACATATGTGTATGCCCCTCTTCCCTTGGAAACGGAACAAATAGAATTGTTCTATTTGATTTCTCGCAACAACTTGATAACCACTTGCTACTTATCAATTAACGAATAAACTAACGATGGAATGTATTTTTATTAAATGCGTCCTTGTTTCATCTGTTATTACTTTCATTTACGTATATATGTAATATATAGTAAGGGTAAGTATTGCGATCGTGAACATTTTTGAATCTGAGTTTTCAACGGAAATACACGTTTGGAGTTCTCTGAGTTCAAATAACAAAGTGCCGAAATGGTCTAAAATAATAAATAAAATGGTCTGTGTGTTTGTCTGTTAGCAGTCTAGCTCAAAAACGAAAAGTCGTACGAAACTGATATTACGTATTTAAGATAGGGATATGCCTTAGATGTGGCACTTTATATCAATACTGAAACACATTTTTACAATTTTCTCAAAAACGCCTCGATATTCGACAAAAACCATTTTTATTAAACTCGGTGTTTCATTGTATAATTAAGTCGTCTTTAATATGAATCAGGTCTTATCCTCGTTGATGTCAGTTCACAGGGCCTAAATGCCCAATGTTCGTATGTGTCTTCCTCTAAAGTACCTTTAATATGGTTTATTTTAAATAATTAATCATCTCACATTATTTAGAGTTACGAAAAAATTGTAAATATAACTTTTGAAACAATTTGATGATTGAGTAAAGGATAAAAAAATAAAAAGTTGTAGAAGGTAACGGAATGTGGCAAAAAAATTATAAATAATAATTTTTGAAAATTTATTATATTTAACTTAAACATGTTTTCAATGAACTTAAATGAAATTTACTTATTAAATGTAAACTTTTAAATAAAAAAGTATTTAAAATCAACGGATTCAAGCCAATGACACTGTTTAAGATATTATTTCATTGTACTGAAACAAGTGTTTCTGGCCATTTCACTTTTTTGTGAAACAAGAATTGAAATGGCCAGACAATGATTCCTATTCAAAGTTGAGCGATAAGTGAAAGTTGTGTGTTGCGCGCACAAGATTTTTATGAATTTATTTTGCATTTTGAATGAAGTTGTAGTGGATATCTTTTTTCAATTTTTCAATTTTATTAGCCTTGGATTTGTACAGAGCTGTATCAGCTGGTGTCGACGAGGAGGAAGGTATTTGAAGAGGGTATTCCTTCAGCTTCAGGTTTGGGAAATGGAAATAGCTTTCCAACACAACAGCCCCCTTTCCTATACCGTCCTTCACCCTCCCATTCGGTGAAATCGAGGTATAGATATCAGGTCGGGGGAGGACCCTCTGGGTACCTTAAAACGCCACCGAGCAATATAAGGAACTTGTATATATATGTATACTCCAGGTCGGTCGGTATTGAGGTGAGGGTCTAGAGGCCTCGTTCCGATCTAATGGTAAGATAGATGAGTGGAGCCGATAGCCGATCTAGGAGGACGGAATTCATTGACTATAATTTTCGATTGGAAATCACGTATTCGTCTCAAATAAAACTTTTATGGTCGTAATTAAGTCAGCATAACTTAAATTCGTGGCTAAAATTTAATTGTTAAAAAAATTTAAGTTTAAAATCATAAATTCTAAGAATTAATAAAAAAACTATCAATAATATTAATAAAAACAGAACCAATATTATTCATAGTTATAAGTTATAAGTATTCAAATTTATTTAATCTATTTCCTCAACCTTAAAATCAACATCATTAGACAGCCCACTCTCTGGTTGAGGTCGCTTATAATCGCTTCCTAACTGCAATTTCCCTTTTATTATTTTCTTCGTTTTTTTCATTCCTTGTCTACACAGTATGAAAATATTTGCACTCTTCAAAAATCCATAACCCCGTGAAAATGAGCTCTTGTTGTCAAAATTTTGTTGGTTTACTTGCTTTCCGCCCATTAGTATTTCGAAGCAAACAAGAAACGTTATTCGGCCTCCATGTTCCCTCGAAACCTCGAAAGGACTATTGGTGGTTGTTATCAATGGTTTTTCAGGTCTAAAAAATATGATTCAGCTATGACATTTACTCTAAAAAAAAAAATCATTTTCTGATCATTTATCCAAAGCTCATTTATTTTTTATGTCAATAGGGCTATATTGTCTTTCGAACCTGTATAATTTATTATATATTTCATAACGTTTTCATAATAAAAAAAAAACTGCTTAGCGCGAAATTTGATAATTATTTTTTTTGAAAGAATATAAAAAATACTACAAAATTAAAAAAAAAAAATGTACCGGCGGGATACCGGGAAGGGTATTTCACAGACTATTTAAGCGTTATTTATGTAAGTAACCCGATGGTAAACAGAAGTTTACGAGTTCATATCTTGGTGCCGGTGGGGCTTTTAACTCGGCATAATTCCTCCTTCCCTTCAACCCTCGTATAGCCTAAAAGATGAGGAAGGGTAGAAATAAAAATTCTGTCACTTGGTCATCTATTACAATTTTTTTTTTCTTGGTGAGAGTAGCTCAACCCAAAGAATTTATTCGATGGAGTGTAATTGATTGATAGAGCGTAAGACCTTACTTAATAAAATAATATATATATTTTGATAGTAAAAAATACATATAAATATATAAACTCTTGTAAGACTTTCTTACACTAAATATCAAAATTGCATTAAATATCTAATTGTATGTTTGCTAGAATTGAGAAAATATGTTTTGCTTACTCAAGTGTATTTGCAAAATTTGTTGGAAGATTCTCGTTAGTGTGGTGTAATATGTACCCATAAATATTTAATGAAATTAGTCACAACCCTTATTATCCTATATAAACGATGATCTCTTACAGCGTAACCTCATGCAATTTTTGAAATATGTGTCTACTCCATTATAATAGTAGAACATCTATATAAAACATATAATACAAAATTATAAAATAGTATCATTATCAATTATAATAAAATATCTATTTGGTTTATCATTATTATATATTGCAAATCGTTTATTCATCCTACATTTAGGTTTATTGCTATTAGCTATAAGACAGGGCAGTACACTGTTGATGGATCTACTTTATGTTACTTAAAGACTTTTCGCAGTAAACCTGCATTATGCTGCTCAATGCGACAATAAACCCAGATATTTAGTGTTACCCGAAGTCGGTCCTGGTCTTGCACTTTGCATGACCAAGACCAAGGCCGCCTAACTATCGCAAGACTGCTAAAAAATAAAAACATTTTTGAATATAAATTAAGGCAAAAACGTGAACTAATACTTGACAATCTTAGTTACTTTATGTAAATTGGTATGACCAATATAATTTTGCATTTAACTCCTCTAATTTTTCATTCGGGCTTAGTTAGGTTTCTCCTATCTAAATAATTACAGCAATATCTTTATAGTAATAAGCTAATAAGTAACTGCGAGACTCTTGCGCAAGACCAAGACCATGACCAAAACTCGTCTAGTTATCGCATTTGGGCAACACTACAGATATTATTGTTTATAGCTTTACATTATATTGCAATACATGATTTGTCTTGAAATATAATACAATCGCTGGCGATAAGAGTATCAGACTTTATTCTCTACAATACAGTAGCCCCTAAGGAAGATACCTGAGAATAGAATTGGAGCGCTGGCGTGAGCACGGCCACGTACGCCGATCTATCCTCAGGTTTGTACGCTATTCTTTGTAGCGATCTGGTGGGATCTGGGGTAACAGAGGTGTGAATAATAATTATAGCCATCATTAATGAACAGCTTTGTAAAAGCATCTTCAAGTCAGATTTCATTTTTTATCACTCTAGCAAGAAATTATATATTAAATCTGTGGCTTTTTGTCTTGTCTTTTCCTTTTTACTGTCTTCTATATTTACTTGTTATAATTATTGACTCTATACACTGCTTGTGTTGAGAAAAAGAAAACTTATTACATTGATAGACACTCCTATATAGTAAATTATTTTTGGTTTTGCAATTGTTATTTTGTTTGCCATTGTTGAATCCCATAAACCCCTTTAAAAGCCAATCGCGAAAGGAGGTGAAGATAGGAAGTGGAAGGTGACCGCAAGGTCGGCGGCCTCGATGAGTCAGCGGTGATTCAGAGCGGTGCACGATCACAGCTACACGGCAAGTGGTCGGACCTATGGATCTTGAGCCGGCTTAGAGGTAGCTTAAAGGAAATACCTAAGGCTCGATAGGTTTGTTTTAGCATTATTTAGGCCGCCATTTCATCCGCTCCCAAGTGGAGAGAGATAATTAGTTATTAACGCTTAATTGCAAAATAAGCGCACAATAGATACCGGCCTGTTATATCTGTATCTAAATCCACCACTGCACTAGTTGGAACACGAGAGGACAGAATGGCGTTTAGCGCTGTTATTGCTAACTGACCGGTCGATGGGACTGGCTATCTTCTCTTCTTTTATTGTAGATTTATAATTATTGATTGTACGTTTAGTTGTTAGGGCTCATGTCAAGTTATCTAAAGTATGGATTTTTTTAATATCACGGTAATATGATATGTATTTCTTTCTATTTTACTTAGCTATCTACTGCAAACGGTTTTTCGATAAGGAGTACTAAGAATTTTATTGTTATCGTTAGATTAGCTGACTAGTATTCAGATAATTATTTATTATATATTCTAGATAATTATGATTTTGCACAACCCAAAGCCCGCTTGCAACAATTTTGGGCTACTAACTCATGGGTTATATTTAGAACTGAATTTTAATTTTTTATTTCTTTGTTTAAAAAAAATATCAAGTTCGTTTCCTAGGATAAAAAAGTATTTTAGAATCGGCATGTTTCATTTAGGTTACAAAATTACTACTGGAAAACATGCACTTTATCTTTAACTGTGTAAATAATAACCAACAGTTCTCCTTATGTTGCTATATTTTCAAAATTTATAAAAGAAAAACAATAATAATAATAATAAATAATAATAATAAGGCATAGCGAACCTGAAGGTTCGATGCCGACACCACCAATCGCTTGTTACACATCTCTCTCCACCGTTCGCCGTCCAAACCCAGTCCCTTCAGATCGGCTTTAATGCAGTCTTCCCACCTTCGCTTCGGTCTATCCCTCGGACGCTTACCATTCGGCACAGCAAATATTAACCTTTTAGGAATTCTCTCGTTACTAAGCCCAACAACTTTACAAGCCAATTTGATTCGCCGTGATGAAATTACATCAATTATATTACTCGGATACAGCTCACGCAATTCGGCGTTGTGTAACCGTCTGAACTCTCCGGTTAACTCATCCTTTTTCGGTCCGAATATTCTACGCAATACTTTATTTTCAAAAACCTTAAGACGCTGCTCATCTCTTAATGTAAGCGGCCAAGTTTCGCATCCATAAAGAACTGTAGGCAAGATAATTGTTTTATAGATTCTAATTTTTAAGTTCCGGGACAAGAGGCGCGACCTAAGTAGTTTTGTCACAGAAAAATAACAAGCATTTCCCGCCTTCAGTCTAACCTTAATCTCTTCTTCAATTTCGTTTTTTCTAGTTATCGTTGAACCTAGATACCTAAATTTATCTACCTGTTCAAACATATTACCATCTATATCGATATCACCAGTAGTATCGCCATTTTTGCAGCTAACCATATATTTTGTTTTATCCACGTTTATTTCGAGTCCTAGTTCTTTCCCGGCTTTCATTAACGTTGTCGTATTTAGTTTTATAGTTTCAACGTCTTCGCTTAACAGTACCAGATCATCAGCATATCCCAGCACGGATGTTGTCCCGCCCAGATCCAACCCTTTCTCGGTTCGCATTACCTCCCTAATGGCATGTTCTAATGCCAAATTGAACAGGACAGGCGAAAGAGAATCCCCCTGTTTTAAGCCCGAACGAACCTCAAATTTTTCGGACAAATTATTACCGATTCTAACTTTATTGAGTGTCTCCGTCAAGCACATCCAGACTAGATTTACTAGTTTTTTTGGAATCCCCTGCTCGATTAGAATATTATACAGTTTCTGGCGGTCAATAGAATCGTACGCCTTTTTAAAATCTATATACAGCTGGTGAACAATACCCTTATACTCCAATTTTTTCTCTAATATTTGTCGTAAAGAAAATATAAAAGAAAAACAAATATTTTTAAAATGTAGCACCTAAACTATAAATAGAAATAATTCTTTTGAAGATGGTAGGGTTTGGTTAGGTAGAGTGCAGTTTTCACACGGCTCACAATACGTCAATTCCTCGGTTGTGGTAGGCGTTATAGAAATGTAGATCATCTATGGCTTCGGTTTAAGTTGTTCTTCATTTTGTTTATTTATGGCATGAATATTAATTATTTATGTAGAGCGTCTGCATCGCTTTGGACAGATGAATGTCCCCAATAATGAGAATCGCGGAGGTTTACGCCGCAGTAAAATGTACGATGGGCCGTTAAATGATGATTAGCGATGAGTCTTCCGCTTAGCTCTATTAGCTTATTGATATTTACTAAACATATTACTTTACATCTTAGAAAAACGATACATTATAAATTACGTTGTAAAGTACAACCAAATTAATAACATTAAGTTGACAATACATTAAAGTTATTGTCAAGAAAGATAGTAATAGGTTTCTCTCCTTGGAATGGAAGAGTTGTAGATTAAAGAAAATCTATACAATATCATGTCACACCAATTATTTAAATAAAAAATGTAGTGTGAAAAAAACCTTTTTTTTCAATTTTAAATGTATTCATTTAAAATAATACAATTGAATTAGTCTAATATCTCTGATAACCGATCAGATAAATCATTAGAGTACTATTTTTTTGATAATAAACGGGCAAATGAACCATTTTTAAAATCATGGTATAAAATTCAATACACGGTAGCGTCCCTAAGTTCCTAAAACATTTAGAAATTTTTTTTATAGTTTTATAAGAAATTTAATGAACTTTTAAAAAATTTTACCACTACACACTACAGGGCTATTACTGTCATGCTTTTTATTTATTTTTATTTTTTATTTGTTTTGGACTTTGACAGATTTTGGACAACACTAATGATAATGTATAGGCCCGACCTTATCATCAGTTAACTTGAACGCTGAAGTTGTTGGTGTTAACTTGGCCTGGTTCTTCAGGCCTCGATCCTTGACCAACTGCCCCTCCTTGCCTGATAGGTGCTGCTTATTCCACATCTTGTCTTCCTGAGGCGGTTCTTATTACTGATATTTTACCTTGCTCCAACCTTAACGAAAATACTCGGAATAGACGTGTTTTCAATCTGGAGGTCGGCAAACTTTGTCTATTTAATTAGGTACTAAAAACTCAAAAATACCCTTGAACACAAAGTAGAGAAAAATGGTGGCCTTTTAAAATATTGAGCCGTTTGGCGTGAACTAAACCCCCAAATTGTCAAAACAACGAGGTTGTATAGGCCAAACAGCCCAAAATTTTTGTCGGCCACCTTTTTTTATCGATTTTGTGATCACATTATCTTACGATCCAAGCGAAAAGCAAATCGGTCTTTTTGATTGAGAAAGACGAGTTTTTTACCTATTTAAATAGACAAAGTTTGCCGACTTCTAGACTTAAAACGCCCCAATTTCGAGAATTTTCATAAATAAAATATTTGTAGGTTACGGATGAGGTAAAGCTATGCACGAGGTTTCAGGCGGATGTTAATAATCTGATAAAAAGAGGTGTGTACCAGGGACTGTAATTTTGATTTGCTGATTATGGTTACTGCAGTTGTTATAGGTTATTAATTTAAATGATGTTACACAAGTTGTGGCTCTCTTAGCCGGCGACTTGCGACTTGGACGTGGGCTGCAGCGTGGGTTAGCCGTCTCGTCTCTGTGCTAAGGGGTCGCTGGCCAAATGGTGTTAGTTAATATTTTTATATTTTTCTTATAGTTTACTTTATTTTTCATAATGTTAATATATAATATTGGTTCGGTGACCAAAGGGTATTAGTTAATATTTTTATATTTTTCCTATAATTTACTTTACTTTTCATAATGATGATATGTAATATTGTCCGTTCTATGGCAAACTGACTAAAGTGTAAAACATAAACATTTCAGGAGAGAAAATTAATATATAATCAAATATTTGAATCTAACTTATTGTGAATTAAGATTGCATAGACGAGATAACTATTATTTGTCAGTTTTCTTGAATAGACATTCGATACTTTTCTAAGTCAATATTCCCATTCAATTCAATTTTTCTGTTTGACTGCATTTCTATACACCCGACGATAACATCATATTATGTATGCAGATTTTCCTTGTTAAGCCTTACTTTATTTCTGTTTTAAATATAATGTTTTAGCTTAAATATTTATGTCAAAATCGTAATTTGTCAATAACTTGTCTTTCCTTTTTTCACAAATGGCTCTGACTTACAGCGACCCGGGACCTGGGACCTGCCCTGCTTATAGCTGTATTTAAAGAGTGCGATGATTATTTACTCCCGTATGATGACGACACACCCTGTTCATCAGCTGTGGTGACCCTTGAACCATCATCATGAGAACTCGCTCCTAGGCATGGCCCTAATCCAGCCGGGTCGATATAGCATGTTCCCATGTTCCCAAGACATGGATTTCTGCTCGATGTGCAATCGGGAAAACCCTTAGCTCCTTCATCGCTCGACTTGCTCATTTCCAGAATGCTGGTGTTGCTCTAAAATGTATTAGTAGAGTTTCGTTACACTCCTGCTTATATTATGGAGTGATCTTAATGTTATTCGTAAGTAACGCTACGGGATTATTCTTAGCTATATCGCTCCAGCCTACTCCTAAAAGCCCCCCTGGCCATGAATTCTCGATCAGGCTGTGGAGATCCGTGAGTTGGTAGTTCCCTTCACCTCCGAAATGACCAGTCTACTCTGGATCACTTTAAGCCGAAAACGTTTCTCATCGAGAATTGTCGACACTACTGCTGAGGTCTAGGCTGAGGCATCTTGCGGTTCTTCTATGAAACTTAGCGAATCTCGAGTTGTATTCACTAATATATTCAACATTTTGACAAATTTTCTTCGTAATGCTGATATTGTTCAATCTCTGAATTTTGTAATTATTTGTTGATATATTTTGGAGTAAACGTTAGACAGAATTTATTTGTACTTTGTTACCTTCCCTCTTTCTTGTACTGAGGAGATGCCTCGCCATTGCCGATTCGCCCTAGCGGTCCGGCTAGGATACGATGGTAACCATGGACAGCTCCTGGAACTATAGAATTGAGCTCAGAGCAGAGGGGGGGGGGACGCCTCCTTTGAGCTTCCAGTCTTTCATTTCGTTTTAGCGTTTCCTTCGAGCAGTAAACGGATTTTCCGCCCAAAGGAGCTAACACTTTTCCTCAGTTCGTTCTGTTCTCCATTTTTGGAATATTTGGTTAGGGCCTGATGAAAAGAGCTATCTTAGGAATTTCTTAAATATTGGCACTCACACTCACATTGTTGGCCACTTCTCATACTTACTACATTAATGAAATATGTTTGATTTTTATCACTCACTATTACTAATATTTACCCTCATTTGATATCATGAGCATCAAAACAGTCCAATAGCTCAATAAACCTGGAATTAGAACAACTTTCTTCCCATTTTTATGGATTCCCTCAACGAACAGTTTTTAATGGACTTGGGAATCTTTTAAAATACTGGGCTGAGCTACTCATTTCTCTAGATTTGATAAACAAACCAAAGTTTCAAATGAAGTGCTTCAAGTGCTTGCCACTGTGCCTCTAATGAAAGCGATTGGTCCCTTCGCTCGACGGAAGGGAAAATTTTATTAAAATATTAACTACCAATTTATATTTATATATTTTCAAACTTCTTTTACACGATTCATCTATATTAAATAGTTTGTTTTTTGTAAGAATATAATCTAAAAAATATTTATAAAATATCTATTTACTTAAAGTAATTAACGTAGTAAAAAAGAGGCGAACGTTCCACAGATCTGTAAATAAAATATATATTAATACATTTTTTTCGTGTTATAATGTAATATTTATATATGTTATATAAATTTCTGATTAATATTTTTATTGGTCTATTTGAATGTTACCATATTTAATAGGACTTAAGTAGGTATTATTACTTGATACATTTTGAGCTACCGTCCATTCTTGTAGGACTTTTAACTCTTCAAAGACATTTACTGTACATTATCAATTTTTTTTTTCATTGACATCTTTCCTCGGTGTTGTTGTTGACCACTTTACCTTACCATTTACCTTAATCTTAATAATAATAATAATAAGGCTTAGCGAACCTTATTATTATTATTATTAAGATTAAGGTAAATGGTAAGGTAAAGTGGTCAACAACAACACCGAGGAAAGATGTCAATGAAAAAAAAAAAAAAAAAAAAAAAAAAAAAAAAAAAAAAAAAAAAAAAAAAAAAAAAAAAAAAAAAAAAAAAAAAAAAAAAAAAAAAAAAAACCTTAATTTACCTTAATCTTACAATTTACAAACCACTCGTGCTGTTGAATCATAGCATTGCATTCCGTGTTTTACTCCCGTGTTTCGCCTTTTAAGGATAATTAAAAGGACATGGCAAGTGTTGAGGCACGCCATGTCGTGCTACAAGGTGGCGATTAATTTATTATCATGGAAACTGTAATCATTCTCTACTTCTCCCTCTCCTACCTTTGTATTATTTGTGTTAGTCATTGTTTGATCGATATAATTGGAATGATTATTTTAATAAGTTTATCAAAGTTGTTTAGTAATAATATCTAATCGACTTTAAAAAAAATTAAGGATTCGTTTGAGTTGGAAGAATGGACGTAATGTTTCCGTTAGCCGTCCTTAAATCGTACAATAACATTCTAATTGCCTTGAGTGTTATTTCTTTACTTTATCCCAGAAATAATAACGGTTAGTATTATAATGAAACAAATAAAAAATTATAAAAATAAATATTAAATTATATTAATTTTGTTTTAAATATTCGTTTACTGATAGACAATACTCTCAAAAGGCAAGAGGAATGAATGCTATATATATATATATATATATATATATATATATATATATATATATATATATTATATATATATATATATATATATATATATATATATATATATATAATAGCTGCTTATTAAGCCCACTGGTGAACTTAAGTTATTTCAAATTAATTCATAAATATATTTAAAACATTTAAATGTTCTAATTAAATGCTAGGATTTTTTATTAATTGAACATAAAGCCTCATAGAAAAAATATTGTTTAAAATATAAATGTAAATAATAACTACGATAAATTATTACAAAAATAATTATTTTTAATAATTTATTGTATTTAATTTAAATTAATTGAATTTACCTTCTTAGATAACTAAATTATTTAATATTAATTCTATTAACAGATGTTTTTACAAGTTTGTTATTAATAAAACCCAAAATTACATTAATTTGCAATATTTCTTGGTAATTTTTTTATATTTTTATAATATATATGTAGTGGTGAGCTTATTCTTAAAGAGGCAATCCGACTGGATTTTAGTTGGAATTTCCACCGTCAAATATTCCTATCTGAAAAATAATACTTCATTTTCTCCAATCACAGGTCTTAAAATTGAGAATTTTGGAAATGGTTTATTATAATTTATTTATATAATTCATTATTTATTTTTTAATTTATTATATTTTTTTATAATTTATTATTTATTTTTTATTATTTATTATTCATTTTTTACAATTCATTATTCATGTTTTTATAATATTAGTCATTAATTATTCATATTATTATTACTATTTAAATCTGTTTATACTTATCCCTCTTGCGTTTTAACTGTATTATCTGTAAAAAAATATTTAAAACAAAATTAACATTTTATTTAGTCAAATCATGAAGTAATTATTCATATCATTATTAATATCATCCATTTTCTTTGTGAGAACATTTAAAATTTTGTAATGCATTTATGAATTAATTTTAAACGCAGCTCTCCTCAGCGGGTAGGCTGCGCTGAGGTGTTTGAATCCTTATTGGGTTTGTAATGGTTCAGTCCAATTCAGACAGGGTGTTTGAATCCTTATTGGGTTTGTAATGGTTCAGTCCAATTCAGACAGGGTGTCTGAATCCTCACAGAGTTTGTAGAGGTCAGTCCCATCAAGACAGTGTGTCTGAATCCATATAGAGTTTGTAATGGGTCACTCCCAACCATACAACGTGTACGAATATGTATAGGGTTTATAATGATAACTCCCTTCAAGACAGGGTGTCTGAATCCATATAGGGTTTGTAATGGTTCAGTCCAATTCAGACAGGGTGTCTGAATCCTCACAGAGTTTGTAGTGGTCAGTCCCATTCAGACAGGGTGTCTGAATCCATATAGGATTTGTAATGGGTGACTCCCAACCAGACAACGTGTCCGAATATGTATAGGGTTTATAATGAGAACTCCCTTCAAGACAGGGTGTCTGAATCCGTCTAGGGTTCGTAACTACGCTACCTGGGCCGGAAGAGCTATTAGTTGAGAAGAAATGCTGAAGCGATACTAGTTAACGCAGCTGCTCGAAGCCCCAGACCTACCGAACCACATCCCGCTGTTCTCTGTCTGTATCCCTTGATAATCTAAAACATTTTTATCTATGATCATTTTTATTTTCCAAGAATTTAGTTGTAACATAAACTTTCACTAAATTAAATTTCGTTGAGTTTAATGATTAAAGATAAATTACTGATCCGTGTCTCAAACCTTAATGAGGTAAAATTGATTACCGTAAATAGTCAACTGGACTCTACTATAAAAAAATATTAAATGGATGCAATGTTTTCCACCTTTAAACTAAGCTTAATTTCATTAATGTTCGAGACGGTTTAAATATAAATTTTACTTCCTTTTAATATAATTTTGATAAAAGATGTGTAATAATTATAGGACAACGATGGTGCAAGGGAAGTGTTGCCAACTTGATCAGTTTCCATTATTGTAATGTGAGAAGAGTACATGAGCTCTAAGATTAGATTTCCGAATGGAATCTTCCTTCTTGGGAAAATCGATTACCTTATCACCAAAGGATTCTGATATCATTATATGATATAATTATCCTATCCCGGGCTATCGCTAGTTCACAGTATTCGTTCTGCCTCTCTTCTTATTATAGCTTATTATATATTTATAGGTTATTATATATTTCTGTCAGCCTCCAATCTTATAAATATTATATTTCATGTAAATTATTGATCGTGGTCGAATCGATGTGACGGGCACATCACCTACCATCGTTTGTCCCTATGTCATGAAATTTTCAGGAATAGTGCAGGTGGGTACGTAGATGGCCCTGTATTGATTTTTTAAAAATTCTATCCAGCACGAGCAAACTTATTTTTTATACAATCCAATATTTCAGAATCGTTCAGATTGGCGCAACGTTGGACAAAAGAAATAGTAAACAAAAAAAATAATGAGTATCGGTTTTATTGAATTCCTTTCACTACTTTCTGTTATATATTCTCTTATATATATATATATATATTCTCTGCGCAAACGTGTTTACTTTGTATGTTTATATATCTAAAACCGTAGTTCGATTTGGCATAAATTTGGAGAGAAGTTAAGGATTGGTAAACAGATAATCAATTATGTATCAATTGCATAAAATTCTATCTATTACTTTCAAGAAAATACTTCTTCCTTGAGATCATAAAATATATTATTTGACACTACTATAGTTTAGAAACGGCTCCTTCGATTTGAACCAAACTTGGAGAACAATATTATAGATATTGCCTTGTACCAATTTCATTGGATTCTATTTAATAATTAGAATTGTTATAAATAACTGTTAACAATATAATAATGGTCGGGAACTGTGGAAGGCATTGATCGTATGGAATGGAGGTTAGGTTAATGCAATATTCTTATGAGGTTATAAAGCTGTAGGTTTTATTCTAAAAGTTAATTTATACTTTATTGTTTAGTCGATTCCAAACGTTACTGGCACTTACATAGATTTCGTGTTATTTGCAGTAAATTAAAAAAATGTTTACTCTGAATTTGTAAAAAAAATTCTTATTTTGATGGTATTTTTTTCAATTTGTTTTCCCTTCTTGTGATTTCAGCTTAAACTAGTGTTATACTGGACGAAGGAAAATATTAGTCTCGTTATTTCTAAATAAACAAGAAGTATTTATGAATTTTTTGATCCATCTATTTTATGAGTGAAACTGGTCGAATGTAAAAATTTTCTATTTTTTATTCCATTTGAGTTAAAAGTGACATTTAATAGTTTGCAACTGATACCCGTAGCCACTTATGGAAAATAGCAATGGAGAATAAAATATGAAATCATACTAATAAATCATAAAGAAATAATTAGTTGTTGTAAAGCACTCAATTTTTACAAATTACCTAAAAGTAGCGATATGCATGTTCAGTATGTACTGAGATTTTTTTTTAAAATCAAGAATCATAAATACACTTTTTGTTTATGTGTAACTATTTCACAATTTAGTATTCGGTGATGAACAAAATTCGTAGTCATCAAACCCGAGAATATTTAGATATTACGAAAACGACTTCTCTCGAAGATTTTGAATCATACGAAAAATCATAGAGTTTAAAATATAGATATTATAATCCAATGAGAACGGTGAGGAAGCTATACTGACCTTACCTAACAGAAGTTTTAAAACGTTTTCTGATGTCCTTTTTTTTTTTTTTTTTTTTTTTAAATAAAGTTTCGATGAAGCAAGCAATATGAAATTAATTAAATAAAATAGAAAATATCTGATAGCCTAGAATACTGTTTGTTAAAACTTATTTGGTTGCCTGACTTGAAGGTAAACCCAGGTTGGATAGCTCTCAGCCTCCATGAGGTCTGCCTCCCCCCTCCCCCCTCACTTCGGAGTCTCGCTCGCTCTGGAAATGTCTTGTACGTGACAGTTCTGCAGCAACAGGGTCCTTACGTCAGGACCTGCCTTATCTCGGGAGGACAGCTTGGATATGGTCCTTTGGAAATATGCTGGAGCCTCAATATTAACAGTGTAACCCTTCTACCTATCAGGTGTGACTTTTCGGGGAGCAGTTGACGAGAGGACGTTGTTGACTACTACTTATTTCAACGGCCCTCGTGTATTCCCAACTCCAGAATAAATATCCTACAACATTTGTAGAAAGTAAAACGATTCAATTGTTATCACAACCAGGAATATTGATATGATTATAGATGAGGCCCAATGAAACCAAAATAAATAAGGATTATAACTTGTCTGTAAACATACTGTAAACCTCTTCATCAATCCTAGCGGTGTATTTCAAATTCATTTCTTACTAATTTCCACTATTAATGATTATGAATTATATTAAAGTATTTGAAGTATAGTGTAATAGTATTTTATATGACATTTGGAGGTGAGAATATATTATTACATTAATTTTCCCCTTTTATGTGGAGGGATTGATGCAGAATATCTCTAAAAGTATTATTGTTCGTCTAATTACATTTAATAGGACTTGAAGATTCACTTAAACACCATTTCATATAGGTACTTACTTTATTTATTTCTTCCGAAGTAAATATCGAAATATATTTATAAAAAAAAAATCCTTCAGCCCTCCCAAAATTGAATTTTGGATCCTTTAGTGTACTACAACAGTACCCGCGATGATTACTATTGTGTCGGCCCGGAACTGATTTCGGACCAGAACAGTACCCGGCGATGATTAATATTCTCGGTGCGGATCCACTCGACGAGTGACCTTTGTCTTCCAAGGCCTGCAATCAAGTCAGCTGTGGCTACTTCTCAGGACGTTATGTTCGCCCATCGTTTGAGCTCGAAATATTATTTGCGATTGTTGTATTTGAATATTTTTAATTGGATTAAGATTCTTCGCGAACAGGAGAGAACCATCCCGAACTCAACTGGTACAGACCCCTTTTTATCAAATTATTAACATCCGGCTGACACTGCGTAAATAGCTTCATCTCACCGTAACCTACAAATATTTTATTTACAATATTTATGGAAATTTGGGCGTTATCAATCTGGAGGTCGGCAAACTTTGTCTATTAAATTAGGCACTAAAAACTTGTAAATACCCATTTTCTTTCCACTTGAATCGTAAGATAATTTCATAAAAAAATTAATTAAAAGGTAGCCTACAAAAATATTAGGCCCATGACTAAATAAAATAGAGTAAATAAAATATTTGTATGTTACGATGAGATGAAGTTATTTACGAAGTTTCAGCCGGATGTTAATAATTTGATAAAAAGAGGTCTGTACTATGGACTAGTTTTTTTTTTTAAACATTTTATTTACTCAAATTACTAACTATTTTTCTATAGACTTTCTTTAAAGTTCGGAAAGAATAGTTATTTTGGTTTGAGCAACTTATTTCAAATTGTGTGTAACTTGAATAACTATCAACGAATCCGCATTTGGTGGTTGGATACTGCATTTACTATTTTATAATTATATAGGGAGTTGAACAGTTTGTCAAAAAGTGGTTCACCCGCTTTATCAAATACTTTAAAAAAGTCTCTTTGGGCTGAAACGTGGAACCGTAAGCAGGAGATTGTGTGGGCGGGTTGGCCGAATAGGCTAAAGCGTGTGCACTGCACCGCGAGTCGCCTGGCAACCAGATACATGAAGATTTGAGAGACAAGAAAAGTACGAGTTCGCATCCCGGTGCCAGAGGGGATTTTAAATTCCCCGCCCCCACCCTCCGGCCCGGGAAAATCCCGTATAGCCTAAACGGCGAGGTAGGGAAAACAAAAAAAAAAAAAAAAAAAAAAAAATGCAGGAGATTGTGTTACACTCAGTTTACTACGAACTTATTCGGTTTATATTAAACAAAAATAGTCATTAATACAAAACAAACTAAGGTTTGACAGTTCTTGAAGGATGCATCACGTTTACCTCCCTTCAGCTTGCGAACGACGTCCTTTGTTGCAGAGAAGATAAGAGGGTAGTGAGTGCCTGGTGAAGTGTCTTGAGAATAACTAGAGTGCTGGAGGGGGGGGGGGGGGGTGATGTGTTGTGTGTCCCTAATGAGGACATCGGCTCTATCTCGGTGTTTGTCTTGAGTCTGGGTAGTAGTGAATTAGTAAATAATTTGCTTATATTTAATAATAGATGTTGCTATGGTAGTGGTACAAAAATAATTAAAATTTTCATTTACACTTTAAATTAGACCATTCGGGTGCTATAATAATTTAACGTATCAACTAAGAGTGTGGTATGAAGGCCAAAATATAAGGATGTTGAAGGGATCCCTTCCTCATTACTGGAGTACATGAAATATCACAGGGAGAGGAGCCGTATGTTTAAATATCTCTTTTGAATTTATTTACTTCATCGGAGTATTATATTAACTTATCCTTGAACTTCGACACCTTTATCGTCTAAATTATATTATTTTTTTACTAAATTTCATAATAATAAATATATATACAGATATTGAACATGATAAGTTATGCCGAACTTAAATTAGGCCAGATAATAAAGAAGAATGATATTAAACTAGGACAAAAGAAATATCTGGACAAAAAAGGGGTTTGCTAACAGTCCCGAAGGCAGACAATGGACGTGGCTCTGCAAGAACTGTTGCTCCAAGCGGCTCCAATCGTTCAGCACCGTTACGTCTCTCTGGCGCAACCACCGATTGTTACTATCGATTATTAACATTATCGAAATGCAGTCACCTTCTCGTTCTTTATTCATTTTATTTTATTTTTTCCATCCCAAGACCAATTATATTGCGTTACCAAGTTGTCAGGTGTATGAAATGAATCGAAAAAGTAATTTTATTCTGGGACTACAGTTCCCTAAGAATAATAACAGTGTTATTATTCATGGGTGTTAGTCTGGCTTCAAATAATTTAAAATACAAGCTAATATAATGCTCATTATTATTGCAGTTGTGCAATAGATGACATCACACATTATAAGTAATTTTACATATTAGCGGAAATTTAAATGTGGAGTAGGTGATGGAACAGGAGTTGTTGGAAGGAATATGTGGACGAGGATTGACGTATGGAGGTAGGAAGAGAGTTCCATCCTTATTTAAATCTATAGATTGAGACCTAGTATCAAGAGAGTGGATAGAGGAGCGTAGAGTAAGGAGTTCCAGGATGTAGGGAGGGTTCGGTGTATACAGTGCCAGTGTTGAAGTTCAATTTTAGGCCATGTAAATTTGTTTTTCAGCTTCTCAGTTAACTTTGAAAAAATCTTGATCTTCAAATTGAAATAGTAGTACAGACCACATTCAATAGACGCATCTCCTTATGACTTTTATCTTTTTTTTATTTTAGAGGACATTTGACACATACCCAAAAAACAAAATATAAGTGAAAACGAAGTTAAGTTATCATTTTTATATTTTCTTGATTCAAAGCATAAATGTTTCTTCAAATGGGAGATCGGGAGAAGTTTCTTTAATACGAAAGTTAGACACACGTGCTAATACAAATTACAATCAAAATCTTACATTTCGGGACAAGCGTGACAGCTTAAACAGTTCTTTCATGAGAAAGAAAAAGGACGTTCGATATAAGGAGGAAAATATGGAAATAAAATTTAGTTTTTGTGAGCTCTCTGCAGGAAGTAGGTAGAGAGAGGTGAGATAAAGAATGCTGATAATGAGTGAAGTGAATTAATTGAAAGTGAACTGTCATTATTAAGATGGCCACCTAAATATGCATTACATGAAGGTAACGTAGATGGGCATCAAACTGGCGCCCAGTGGAACGAAACGCTAAAATGAGGAACAAAATACTAATTTTCAAGTATTTTATTTTCTCTAAAAGTTTTATATATTCTTGGAGCCAGCTGCTGATATGGAATATATAAGGAGTGGTAATTTTAAAAATTGAATATTTAATAACTGACCGTTGCATTATGAAGGAAGGAGATGGTCCGGGGTGGCGGTCGTAAATAGGCTGAATAGTGGCAAAACTATTTTATTAAAAGAGGCTTTTAACCGCCACCATGGTCCGTCTCCTTCCTTTATTTTAAAAATGTTTCTCACGATGAAATTTAATTCCAACGTTATTGTTGTTGGGATAGTAAATTTGAATGAAATGTGAGAACTATTTCTAAATCGTTTATTTTATTTTTTAATATATTTAATCGCTGTTGAAAGGAAAATGCCAAGAAAAGTCCAAGAATATAACAATACAGAATATTTATTGTGACCCCTGGAAGCACTTTTTTTTGCACTGACACTAATATTGATACTAGATCACAGTAAAATGGTTTAAAAAGTTGGTTCTGTTAGATTTATTTCTACATTTTTTTTTTTTTGTTTTGACTTAATTGATGAATATCTCATTTTGGTCCCGGAAGCTATCTTCCATTTCAGCCTCAATAAATTTATTTTATTTTATTAATAAATCTATTTATTTTATTGTCACCGGGATGGTAGTTAACATGTTCAGAGGCAATTCAGCAGCCGACCACCTCCAACCACCCTTTTGGTACAATTTGTTGTTATCTTTTTCTCGCTTAATCGCTAAGAAAACGCTGATAAGACCATTTCAATATCTAATTTCAGTTTTTAATCGATGTGAAACCTATTTATATTTCCTTCGTGTGTAAATTGAGTTTCATTGGTTCATTCGTTAAGGGCCTTTTTTTTTTACCTTTAATGTTTATTTTCAGACATTTTTATGAGAAATTGATCTTGAATTAAACCATTTCTTAAATATTGTTTTTATTAACTAAATTTTGATAGAGTCCATATTAAAATAAGGTAAAATTATTTGTTGGAAACGACTACTTGTCAGAGAAACTAAATTTTGACAGTGTGATGATGAGATTCACAGCGGAAATTTTTAGCGTTCATAATTTATAATCATTGAGTGACTGCATTCTTTAGCACTTTAATATCAATTCTACCTAAAATTATATACATATTCCAGAAACTAGCCTAAATTATAAGTATTGGTCGAACTAATTTTATTTAGAATGTATCGGGGAAACGAAAAAATATATTTTTAATTTGGGAGTAGAAGAACTGTAAAGAAAAGCAAATTTAAGGAAATGTTAGCACAAAAGAACAAGTAAAGAAAACAACGAATTCATTCTGAATGATAGATAGTTGATTTTTAGAATGGATTAAAATTTCATTGAAGAGTTATTGATTATAACCATCATTCTGGCCGAGTATTGACCTGAACCAACTATTGACACCTTATCGGTCATTAGCTTTGCTTGTTGGTGCGATTTCACCAAACAAAATATCAATATAGTCAATATTGTCATCAATATAAAGCGAATAAACCGAAATCAATATAAAGCGATTTAGTCTAACGGAATACTTCTACATTTAAGAAAGCCTGGACTACCAGAGGTCCAGGAATCGAGGTAGTCGAAATGGAGATTGGAAAGATCGATTATTCATGATCACGAATTAAAATCTGTATGTTGCAAATTTTATCCGAGATTATACTGTATTTTATTTTTATTATCTAGATTTTTCAACAGGCACGTATTTTTAAAAGGTTTTACACTGTTATCATTTTATATCATATCTAATTTTGCGTAGATTTATATATATATGATCTATTTTAGACCTTATTTTAACCTGCAATGAAAATATACTCATGTTACAATAAAAAAATATATATAAAGTTTTACAACTATTTAAAAAACGTATAAAAAATGTCATTTATATATTTAATGAACCTTTTATAAAACATTACGAATAGTATATTTAACAATAAACTTGAATAAAATATTAAGAATTTTTTTAAAGTGAAAACTCCTTTTGGCGCGCTTTGTACTTTTTTGTGGAGAGTTAATTAGATTTAGCCGTCAGATTTCCGATGTGTTAACGCTCGGGTTTAGTCGGCTGGAGTCGGCTATGTGTTTTTGTATATGGATTAAAATATCTTTATAACTAAAAATCGGACATGCATATTATTAGCGAGAGAAATGTTCACCATTTCATCCTCTTTGTAATGAGCTATTATTCAAAATTGTTTCTTACCGTGTTAGAAAGCCGAAAAGGGACAATATATTGCCGAAAACCAAATGATAACGAGTTTTATTGAAGATATGTATTAAGATAACTCAGAAACTAAAAATTGTACCTGCATACTGTAAGCGAGGGAATTGTTCATCAATTCATCCTGCCCGTAATGATCTAACATTCAAAATTGTATTTTAACCCGAACGCCGTGTTACAGAGGGAAAATAAAAAAAAATAATGTTGAAAACCAAGTGATAAGTTTTATTGAAGATAGGATTAAAATCTTTCAGAAATTAAAAATCGGACTTTCATTCTGTAAGCGCGGAAAATGTTCAGCATTTCATCCTCTTTATAATGGGCTATTATTTATAATTTATATTTCATATTAATAATCTCGCCTCTTTGATGCTTTTACTTCTTTCGTGTGGTCTTAACCACATATCTTAGTTGTTTTTTTTTAATTTTAGTAACCCATAAATTATCATGAAGGATTTGTCGCACAAACGCGTTTCAGATATCAATCGATTCAGCACAAACAGAGCTTTAAAAATCAATCAACTTTTACCAATCTCATATTGTTTGTCTTTTACGGAATATTGTTCCCAAAGAAATGCTTTCATTCCACTGTGGTGAAGTGGCGCTGTTATCTTTACGAGGCGATTTAAGACTACAAGATTTAGTTAACAGGACTTTTATTACATATAAATGGTAAATATGCACTGTTCCTTATCCACCCCTTACCTCGCAACTCATATATTTATTGCTTATAAACACTTAATAAAATGTTTCTACCTGTTAGAAATAAGTTGACATATTATTACCTTTACTTCTGTCTTTATTGGCCTTATTAAAACATTTTTTTTTTAATTTCTTTTGTCAGCTTGTGTATGTTATTAATTACTAAACAATGCCTTTGTCTTTTCGCACCTTATCTCACCTACTTAAAACAGAGAGTGGCTGAACTAGAAAGTGTCTGACGTGATAAGATTCGATAGTGAACTTTACAATTTTATGTAAAAAGTTATTAATGGTTGAAAATATTTAATCTAGGTCAGTGTAATTGTTTTAACTGAGCATGAAGAACAAAGCTATCCAAATGACCAAAGAAAAAC